CATATTGTAAAAGTTAACTATAACCGAATAAAAGGAGCCGGCCAAGAGGCCACCTTAACACCAAAAAAAAAAAATAATAAAATTGATAAAAAATTTTATTTTCTATGAATTTATAAAATTAAAATAAAAAAATTCATCAATTTTAAATAATAGTATTGCTCAAATTTTGAAAATTTTAATCACAACCTTTGTTTTTATAATTTGTATTAAACTTTAAATGAAATATCTTGATTAGAATTTGGATTCAGATTTGACTTTTGGATTTAAATCCAATTTCCTTCAGACTCGATTTAAATTCAGATAGACTGAATCTATTGAATCTGCAATACTCACATGGTCTGTACAAACACAGAGAACAAAAGTATTCGACCGCCTATAGAATTTCTAGAGTTCACCAGGACGACCACCAAAAGTACGGGCACATGATAAGACGCCACAACCACTGCATAATTTCTTAGAATATTGTTGAATAATCTAGCTCCTACATGCAGCTGTTAAAATTTCTTAAAATATGTAACAAAGCAATATACTGGCTATTAAGGTATGGCTGTGGCGATAATTCAGATAATGTGACCGTATTTTTGGTTGTCGCCCTGGTGAACTCGAATTTCTACAACCATAAATAGTTTTTGTTCTTAAGTGGTCGAATATTTTTCACTGAGTGTATGTACGTACGTACGCACATACAATGATGCTACAATGATGCTACTATCAACGTAGGCACAACCGGATATTATCGAATAAATTCGGATTAAAATCCGGTTTATTAAATAAATAAATTCCGAATCGAAAAACGAAATTTGGTTCCAAACTCTAATCTCAATAACTACTTATATTCTAATTCTGAGTTCATAGAATTCAATTAAAAAATTTTTCATTAATTTTAGGTAAGTAATCATCGGGATATCATTGTTCAAAGTTTGGCCCAACCTTTATTTTGATAACCGTTTGAATTTTGTTAATTAAAATCGATAAAATATTTTTTATTTTAATTCTATGAATCTATAGGATTAAAATAAAACAAATTACATCGATTTTAGGTAAATAGTTATTAATATATCATCGCTCAAAGTTTAGAAAAACTTAACCACAACATTGTTTTTATAATCGCTTAAATTTGTGTTAACCTTTGAACGAAAATACAGTCGGCCCCCTAAATGCATCCCCCTAAGTGCATGACCTCCTTAATTTTCTGGCCCAAATATATACAGTCAACCCTCCATAAATGCATATCATCGGGACCAAACTTTTGAGGGCTTGCATTTAGAGAACAATAATAAAAAATGCATTGATGGGAGTTTAGTATATATTTGGGCCAGAAAATTAATATGCATTTGAGGAGGTCATGTACTTAGGGGGGATGCATTTAGGGGGGCCTACTGTACTAAACTCCCATAAATGCATCTTTTATTATTGTTTTCTAAATGCAAGCCCTCAAAAGTTTGGTCCCGATGATATGCATTTATGGAGGGTTGACTGTATCTCGATAACTACTTACCTAAAATTGATAAAATTTGGTTTTATTTTAATTCCGTGAGTGCATAGAATTTAATTAAAAAAATTCCATTAATTTTAGGTAGGTAGTTGTCGGGATATCATTGTTCAAAGGTTGGAAATACTTGGCTCAACCTTTGTTTTGATCATCGCCTAAATTTTTGAACTTAAACGAGAATATCTCGATAACTACCTACCTAAAATCGATGAAAAAATTTTCAATTCTATGATATAGAATTAAAAAGAAAAAAAAAAATTTATCGATTTAGGTAGGTAATTATTATCGAGATATCGCCACTCAAAAATTACAAAAAAAACTTAGTCGCAATCTTTTTTTGATCATCGTCCAAATTTTTGTTAAACTTTGCGTATGATATCTCGATAACCACTTACTAAAATTGTTAAAACCGGTTTTATTTTAATTCTATGGATTCATAAAAAAATTTCAATTTTAGATAGGTAGTTGCTGAGATATCATCGCTCAAAGTTTGAAAAAAGTATGTAATATATGTTGTTATAGATCTCTATTTTGTCCAATCAGAACACGATAGTTCGAGTAGAATCTAACAATGACCGTCACTTTTTTTCGCTATGGAATTACCGTAAATCACCGGATAAGGTACCCCCCTTGATCGGTACCCCTCTTGATTTGTACCCGGGTATATTTCAAGTTTATCGCAATTTTATTGGCTATTTTTCAGAAAAAACCTGCATAACCCTGTCTTTCATCAGAAGATACCCGGATACCTTATCCGGTGATTTACGGTAGACAATTAGATACAATTAAAAAAATCAACATAAAATTGTGCAAATATAAAAACTGCACCGTTAAAATTTTACTGATATGTATACACTATCTGACTAATCAGATTAACGAATATGCAAATTTTGTTAAAGTAACTTGATTTGGTGGTTTACATTACATCCCTTCATAAAAAATGAGGCGAAAATGAAACGAATACATAGTAAATTTTATTAAATTTTTTTTTTGTTCAATCGGAAATTATCGGCCTGACCTTGCTCTTCTTTTACGTTCATTCATTTTCTTTCGGAACCTTACAATTTCTAATGTTAATTCCGCCCGGCATTAGCTCTCCGGCCAAAATTATATATGTATATCCCAAAATTTTTTTTTTACTAAGAGAAAGAGGGGAGGTCAAAAGAGGGGGGTAATGTAAACCACCAAATCAAACTAGACTGGCCTAATAATGCATTACATTAAGGTTATGATTGCAACGATACTGTATTATATCAAAATTTTAAATAATTTTTTTTTACTAGTGAGCCATAGATGAAATTTTGAGTTAACGCATGATTTTCACGTTACATCTAATCATGTAATCTAATTGGTCAATCTATGTCGAGTATCAATACATCATGGCATTATGTGACCAATCAGACTTGATCTTTTTGAATCCCATAATTTTTTTTCAATAAGTAAGCATAGGTGGTATATAAACTTACGATTATCATTAGCAAGTCCTGAGGGCTCCCAGGCAAACCCAATGATGCTGATGGAAACAACATACCCTACAAAAGGGGTGACTTGGTTGGGTACTCGGGTAGCGCTCGGGTAACACTTCTAAAGCCGGTAGAGGGAACATCCTGCCGCGAAAGGGGTAGGTTGAGTACTACCGCTAGTACTACTTTTTACTTCAACAAACAAAAGATATCGTAATCACGAGTCTGTATACAAAAGAAACACTTCTTTTATTTAAATTTTAACGACTGCCCGGTTTTGTTCAACGTGTTCGCAAAAATTAATTTCTGTATCATACGATGCTTTTTGAAGAGTTTTGACATCTTTCACGTAGCGTAACTTGCTCGTGTGAAATTTTGAACCTTTAAGAAAACATTCGAAAGTTAAAATTTAACGTAATAAGTGGTGATATTGTTGAAATTGCGTTAATTGAAGTTGGTGAGTGGTCTATGTATTCTGATCCCATTTGATCCCAAACGACTATATGAAAGATATAGAACTAAATATAATCTTGCTAAATTTTGATAATTTCAATTATGAAAAAATTTTTGTTCATTTCAGGTTAGAGATTCTATTGTAATAATATAAACAGTTCGTGTAATAGTGTTTTTTTTAGTAGAAATAAAAAATTGACAAAAGTAAGCTTCCGTTATGCTTAGATGATCCCACTTTATAATCATTTGATTAATTGCAAGAGATCCTTTATGATAACTTTAAATAGCTAATCTATTCTATAAAGACATAAGCATTTTGGCAAATTAACATCTTATAAGAAGCGAGGGTAAAGTCAAAATTCATCATCTTGAGTTCCTTCAGATATTGATCTATGAAATTTTAAAAAATTATTTCCAAAAATAATTAGTGTTTAAGATTGAAACGAAAAGTACGTATCATTAATTATTAAGTACCTGGGATTAACTAAAAAGTTTTAATTTTATTAGTATTAATTTTATTAGAATGATAAATTTATTAGTATTAATTTTATTAGAATGATAAATTTATTACTGCATTATGAAAAGAATTTACATACACCTCAACTCATATCTAGCCATTAAAACTCTGACTGCGACGCAAAAATCTTTGGAAAAAAGTTCATCTGATTCTAAGTCCTTTATAGTTTTATCGATCACTCTAATAAGTAATTTATTATGATTCTGCTCATCTTTTACTTCATTCAATTTGGTTGAAAGAACAGAAATAGTCGTTGATTGAATCTCCCAATATACAATGAGTTGTGCAATTGCCATGCTTAATGATTCAAAATTTGCTAACACAATATCAATATTAGTTATTAATTCATCCCTTTGTTCTTCTAATTGCCTTCTTTCCTCATCGTTTTGTGATGAATACTTTCTTCTAAAAACTTCGCTTGATAAGCCTACTCCTATTAAAAAAGAAAAAAAAATCTTTAGATCCAAAATTTAATATATACACAGCATACGATTGATTTGATTGGATTACCTGCTCCAGCTAAGAAAACAACCACACTTCCAGCTGCCAATCCAACACCAGCTCCTACTAAAGGACTAGCGTAGCGAGTTAAACCGAACATTTTCATCCAATATTGGGTTTTATCAAAGTTATCTTTACATTTTGATTTAACATTTTCCGGATCACGCTGGATATCTTCTTGGTATTTATTAAGATCTTCTCCAATTCTTACTAATTCATTTTTAATTCTCCTGACTTGAGCTTGCAATGTTTCAGCAGATTTTAGATTCTTCTTAGTGTCATCCAATAATGATTCTAATTCCTTAAAATATTCATCGTTGGAGAACGAATCCTCTCGAAAACTGTTAATAAATAGTCGTAACTTTAAAGAATAATTTCGAATTTCATGGCTTTGTTGAACTGATCCTTCCAAAAAACCGAAGAATTCCTCACGTTGAGCATTAATATTTTCAATATTATTTTTGAGCACATAATCATCAGCTTTGATTTTTATACATTGCCAAAATTTTTCAAGACTAGAAATCAGGCTGTCTCTCATAACTTTCATGTTGAAACTCACATAATTAACATCATAAACGGAAGAATCATTTCCTTCAAAAGGGTCAGTTGATATGTGAACCATTTTTATTGAACTCAAGAACAAAATTTCAACGAACAGAATCTGGGTTTTATATGATGATCATTTCCCCTGCACCTAATTTATATCAGTCCAATTCTAACTCTAGATCGGGAAAATCAGTTGTCGAGGAAATGTGTACGTACGTACGTAACTGTACGTACGTACTGTTAGCCCCTGTAATTAAGCATCATGTAATATTCAGCAGTAACGTAACACTAATGTCAAGAGTAAAGCGCTAGATAACACTAATAGTTCTAAGCACTTGTAATATTAGTAGCACCAAGTAGCGCTAAGTAGCGCTAAAAAGTGCTAAAGAATATATTAATAGAACGCTAGCAAGAGATTATAATGCTCAAAATGTATAAATAGCCTCACTTATCGCTCATGTAAGAAAACAGTTATATACTCAACAACGCATTAAAGAGTATTATTAAATAAACAATAAAACTAATAACCCCCTACACAGATAAATCATAAACTTGTTATACGACTATTTGTATCTTCATATACATTTAGCCGTTTGCCTCTTTTGTACCATAATCCCCTTAAAAGCGTAACTGCAATAAACTCTATTTTACTCAAGCATAAAACGGTATTCATTATTTATCGTCTAGCTAAAGTAAAACCGTTATACCGAACTTATAAGAGGTAGTTTCGGGTGTAACAGTACGCACGTACGCATGCATATCGGTTAAAATTTTAATTTTCCTTATCATCATCTAACATTTTTATTACTGATACTTTTATAACGGATGGACAAATGAAATAAAGAAATTGACGACTGTATGAAAGAGTTTCAACATAAAACTATTAAAACGTAATATTTATTTCACGTTTTATCATAAATATCGTTAAACATCACGGATGGTTTAATATAATTTTGAAACTCTATACGGAGTAAAACAATAACAGATAATGATAATGCATTTACTAATTGGTTTAAACCTACCAATTGATGCACTTAACGTTAATAATCCTAGTGAATTTAATTATGACTATTTAAAAGGCGTTGTTCATGATTCATACCATATTAAATCTATTCGATGTGTCAAAAACGACACTCTATTCATATCATGTGACATCAGAACTGGTTTTTGGAACAGTTCTGAACTTTCCCTAAAAAGTCCAGTCCGGACCTGGTCCAACCCGTTCCCCGTGGACCACTTAACATCTAATGCATGATATCGATGTCGACGACAAATATGCGTAATAACTGATTTATTATTACACGGATCCTAACACTTATAACACTATAACTATTATTTTCCACAATGTTTCATAGCTTTTCTTCAGCAAAATAAAACTTCTTTTAAAATTCCTTTCTTGGTAAGATAATTTACGAACAACCATACGTCTGCGCTAATTTTGTTTGTACCCCAAAAATTTAAAGTGTATTTCCCGATCGGTTGTGGTTAGATTGTTATTTGACAGATATATTGCATATCACGGTGGGTGATTTATTGTTGATTTAATTAGTGAAAAAGTAATCGGTTGAAGGGTGAGGTAATCGGTTAGACGAGAGTTCTTATATGTAATTTTTTAAATTTAGAGCATTTTCTAGTGACGTACACATCAATTGACTGTCTAGTATTTAACAAAAAATTATAATTTAAGGGATCTTTGATTAGATTTTATTAGTTGTAATGACCAAAAAAAAAAAAGGTCCAATAATCAAAATTAGCCCATACGAATACAATCTAAAAAAACGACAAAAAAGAAAGTTCGCTGTGAAAATATCAGCTATGAAAATCTCAACCATGAAAATATCAGTAAAAAAAGTCATTGGGGTGAATAATTAGGAGGCGTGTAATAAAACACAAGATTGAATGGATTTTATTTAATGGACCGATTAACATTAATAAATAATTGGTAAAGGAAAATTTGGTTTGAATTTTTCTGTAAGCTGGCTGGACAGTATATGAACAATTTGTCGTTGGAATTATAAACACACTAATTTGCACAATCCTCATAATACTATTGTGCTTAAAACGTTAACTAGCTACGTATCTGTAATTTTTTAAAAGTTAAATGCTGATTATAATATACTATTTATAACAAAAATATATCTAACAGTCTTATAAAGGCGTAGTAAGCTTAAAGTTAGCTGATGGAAATCCACGCAGATTTTTAAGAAAAATTTTCCAAGATCTTACTGAAGAATTAAATTAAAACTACTTCTAGGCGTTATGTCAGAATTATTGTTAATTTCACAGTGGTAATATTTTGTCAAATAGTATATACCAAATCTAGGATTGTCTAAAACGATTGATGAAAACGATTTAGAAGGTGGTATTTACAGGATTTTGCGTTAAGTTGCTCTAGAAGCCTTACAAGAAAATCGTTTACATAAGCTGCTGACATTTATGGTTTCGATGTCATCATAGCAGAAATGTTGGTTGGTAAGATCATTCGATGGTGTGCTGTTTGATGAAATTTCTAAAGAAATGATTTGCAATCAGAGCTTCTGATAAATTTAATAAATTGTTCCATATTCACTAGCAATCAATTAAATATTTTTTATTATCGAATATTTAATTAACTTAAGAAAAAAAATTATATTAATTTTTAATAAAAATTTTTTAAACGGCTTAATTTTTAAACTAAAAATTAAAAAATTAAAAATTTTTATACATTAAAAATTCAATTGATCAAAGTCGTGTATTTTTTTATGCTAATAATCTATATGCTAAATTTTTAACGTCAATGGTGGAAAAAATTTCAATGAATCAAAATTGAAGTTTTTTTTTTTTTTTTTTTATACTAAATTTTTTAACGTTCCATCATTCAATGATGAGTTCATTACCTATTATTATTTTAAAATATGGAATAATTCAATAATCATGTGGCCAATGACATTGACTAAAATGCATCCATAACGGATTTGTTTTAAAAACTCTGACGGTTTCCTCATCTTCATGCTTCATCAACCATTTGCTCAAGTACATACAAGGCTCACTTGATGTAGCACCCCACACCCAAACTTTATCTACTTCCGTTAAATCCTCGGGCGAGTTTTTTATTGGCATTACAATAAATGGGCCCCTTTTACGAGACGCTTTTTTTGACCATCCTGCTGCAAGAAAACCGAACGAAGAACCATATGTTATCACCAAGTCATCACATATGCTAAGTAACTTTAAATCGACAAGAGCGCCTACTTCTGAACCGGTGTTATAACTAACGGGATTATGGGCATCCAAATTATCTTCAGTATGAAATATCTTAACAGAACTGTTGAAACCATTAGAATTTATTGTTTCATTAAGTGAATTTAATAACTTTTTAAGACCATTATTATTATCGGCAGCCACAAATAAAGATACGTTCGTGTTTGACGTCTCTACCAACAACATTTTCACTACATTAACGTAATGTTCTAAAGGTATTAAATAATCATGTGGAGACTTTTTCTCTCTAAAATGAATTCCTATGACGTGATCGTTAAAATTATTGTTAGCAAAGGTCTCTACTTTTTGGTTAATATCTGGGTGTACTCTTAATAGATTTAGACTGACTGCAGTAAAAACTCTATAATCAGGTATTATTTTTTCAAACCAATTCTTATAATAAGGATTTGATGTTATTGGAGCACATACGTAATCCCATGTGTGAACATATAAAATATCAGTTGTCTCGTTACTAAAGTTTCCTCTCACCACCAATGGAAAGTCATTATATGAATTAATATCATGTAAATATCTAGAAGTACTATGTTGATATAAATGTTCGACAACTTTCCAGTTATGTTCGAAATCTTTCACATAATAACTTTCGAAATGATCGTAACCATCAATAAAAAATAGCCTATCAGTAAGTAGTGAATATATAAAACCACAAACTACTCCAACTAAACGGTTTCCATATCCTGTCACCATGTCTGGTTTGGCAACAATTACTTTTGGAAGTTCTAATACATTAGATTCGTTAGATGGTTTTAATAGTTCGTCAACTATTTTATTATGTTTCTTAACATATTCATCAAATATTATATCGAATTCCGGATATTTCACTTCTTCCGTGTGGTTCTTCACAGTGTCATTTTTTATAATTTCCGTGTATTGCGTCTCAGTGTTATTTTTTATAATTGTCGTATTCTCCGTATCCTTGAAATTCATAATACGAAAAGACTCGTTCGAGAAGATCGAGAGAAATGCTAAACTAAAAAAGATGAACATACATAGAATGAATAGCATATAAGATTTAATAAGTTGCATAGTGAAAAAATTATGACAGATAAAATATTTTTGAAATTTCTTAGTGAGTTTAAAATTTGGGTTTTTTCATTAAATTTTTTTTTTGTGGTGATCTTTTTATGTACTAAAACAGTGAATAATTAATCAAATTGTGCTAATTTGATTAACGAAATAAAGGAAGTACCTTCATATTTATGGAATTGCTCATTTACGTTAAACCGCCGATCAGATTGTTATCGACATTAATATGGTTATTCGCTACGTAGGACGGTGACAATTTTTTTTAGGGTGAAACTTATTTGATTTGTTAAAATAAAACCTTATGTCCCTAATTAGGTGTGAATGCCCGTATATTTATTGATATTCAAAACACAGTTTTGCGCCTACCCTTGAAAAAGTATCGCATTTTTGAAAGTATTCCGGAGCTAATCAAGTAGTTATACAATCAACTTGATTAATATTTTTTTCAATATACCCTCTTGTATAGTATTCTCTTCTTCACCGGAATACTGTATCATATTAGCCGATTTGTTTCGACCCCAAAATCAATCAATCATGATTGAGAATTATCAAAAAAGTTTATATATCTAAAATTTATTACAAGTCAAATTTTCATAAGAGCGGCCTTTTTAACTAACCTTGTGTTTATAATTAAATACGTATATAGGAAATTATGATATTTCTGTATTGGGAAATTCTATTTTCACCCGGGTTATAGTCACTCGAAATATTAGGGTAGTAAGATATCAAAGACCCCCTCCCCCCTCAGGATATTACGTAATATTTGTCACTACCCTTACTAATACATAGTTTATCGGGTGATTTTAACCCGGGTGAAAATAGAATTTCCCTTATGTATTTACAGCTATTTTCATAATTCCTGGGACACTTGTAAAAAAATTAGCCGAATGATTTTTCGGCCGATCCGGTTAAGTTATTATTTCGGCATAATAGATTCGTACGTACGTACGTACGTATGTATGTACGTACCAATTTTTATTAAATCTATCGTATTATTATTATTATTATGCCGAAATAATAACTTAACCGGACCGGCCGAAAAATCATTCGGTTACAGCTATTAGGTCGTTCGGTAAATTACCTGACTCTCCGGAAACTGCATCGCTGTCTTCGGACCTTCAGTCCGGAGACAGTGATGTAATTTCCGAAGAGTTAGGTAATTTACTAAACGAATGATGATAATAGCTGTAATTACAGTCAGGCATATTACCAAAAATGGAAATCGATTCTAGATCGTTCCATTGAAATTTGATTGGCTACTTTTTGCTAAA